GTTTGTATGTATGTATATTTGTATAAATAGATATATATATATATATATATGATGTTTATATTGCTATATATGTATATACATATATATACATATATATATATATATATAAATAACATACCACTCCTTGCTGAGTTTGAGATCACCAGACTCTTCTTATATAAGGCTGCCACAATCGCTGCTCGAACACGCATACCGGTGGCGAAAGATCGATGAAAATACTGACAAACAAATATAAGAGAAATATGAGTACAACAGGGCAAATAGTGTGCGCATAATAGAACGAAACAAGAGTGAGTACAGTAGCATTAAAGAATGGCGAATACGGACAAGTGCGGATGTCATTTTAAAGTGATTATTGGTTGCTATGTAGGTTGGCAGCTTCCAAGTGGAGAGCTTTGAATCTAGTAGATAGTATGGAACTGAGTACGAGCAAAAGAGTGTAGGCCAAGATGTCGTGCATGGAAGTGGAAAGTGCTGGCAGGCTGGGATTGTAGATACACGGATTCGGGTAGAAGTATATGGAAGTGGCCAGGCAGCAGTATGAACAATCAAAAACTAAACGGGTGCGAAGATAGGGCAAAGACTGTGCCCGTCAAAAGTGCACGGACCATCGAGTGTCAAGCTGTACACTAATAGTCATAGATGGCGTGGTGAATGGATCCGAAAGCACAGACCGACCCAAGGGAAAGAGAGACTGTCCCCCTGCGCCCAATAGTCGGCTAGAGTAGTTGGTACAAACTGACAGGGACGTACGATCAGTGAAGTGGCTGGCATGGTCGAAGACTTGGGAGTATGCACAATCCGTACTAGTAGAACGAACAGACGCGGTATTTCCTTTGCAATAGTGTGTGATATACCTCTGGAAGGTGAACCCGCCCCACCTTGCGTGCACTTTCACTGGTCTTTCTGTTACCTGACAGTTTTCTTTCGCTAGACAACATGCTACCGCTAGAGTCCACTCAAAGATTGTTGTGTCGGGCTAAAATTAACTATACTATGAGGAGATTAAGTCTAGGTGGAAGTGGTCACCTACACCTCTATGGACAACTTACACATGTATGTACATTGCTGCTTTACACACAGAAAGCTTAGGGAATAAGAAGATGTGAAAATGCAAAGTAATCTTAACCGAATATAATATATCTATAGCAATAGTCTGGTGTCAGTTGCTTCCGAATGAATATGAAGGTGTATCTGGCAGAATGCGATTAAGCGCGCACTTGCATGTATAAGATACAAAGCCGTCAGGTGGAAACATACATATGACCGTGTGAGCATGAACCTCGCACGGCCGGAAAGTACACATGAATCTACGCCAACACATAAATCTTTATACAACAAAGCTAAGAAATGGCGAAGACACGAATACACACACATCATGTACACACATACACGTCATGTACATACACACACATCATGTACATGCACACATCACGTACATATACACACGTCATGTACATACACACACTTCATGTACATACACACATAATGTACATACATGCACATCATATACATACACACATCATGTACATACACACACGTCATGTACATACACACACATCATATACATACACGCATCATGTACATTCACACACACCATGTACACACACACATGTCATGTACATACACACACATAATGTACATACACACACATCATATACATACACACACGTCATGTACATACACACACATCATATACATACACATATCATGTACATTCGCACACATCATGTACATACACACACGAAGAGCCAATCGGAATACACAACCACACCCACACAATATGACACAGTAGAACGTTAGTCCTCGTTCATGTGATTTCAACCCCCATCACATACTTGCTGCACCATTATGCTCTGAATGAGCGCAAAGGTGAAAAGTAGACCCGTGAAGAGATAGCCGTAGTAGACATCGATGTCCTCGTGTTTTGTGAAGCAGATCAATTGCTTCAGAATCTGTGGTGACACAAAGGCGCAGCAGTCCTGTGCACGGATTGGGCCATGGGGTGGTGGTAATAGATTAGGGTACGAAATCAAGCGGTGTGTGTATGATATTTTGAAGTACGTTTTATCAGAAATCATAATCTAAATGGAGCGACGAAACGAGAGTGATACTAATCAGTATACTCCACTGTAGATCTGCGACTATATATAGAACAATATGTACACTTCACCACCAACCCCTTGAAACCATCAACCCCAACTGTATAAAGCTCGATAAATAGCACCAAGTACACATCTACATATTTCCAAGTCGTATATACAGGAGGGGAGGCACAAGCAAATTTAAACTCACCTGGATGAACTTGAGAAACCCTCCGAAGAGGTACGGCATTCCAAACGACTTCACCAGTGCACGCACCAGCGATGGTTGCACGCCGCTCTTGCGCCACTTCGTAAGCTCTGTGGGTCAGACGACAGGCAATGCAAGGTATCCCATCGGAAGGGCAGATGGAATGAGAAAGGTTGGATTGGAAGGGAATACTACTACTACGGAGACACATACTGTACACCCCACAAACCTATAACCTCGGCCTACTTTATTAATCACCAAAAACCCCGATTGGCATCGCACGCGCCTGGAGATAGGCCCGACTTGATCCTCTGTACATTCACCAGACAACTCGTTATGCTCAGGTTGATGCACATGCACACGCCCATCAACACACCACACACACACACGTGCTTCGTAGAAGAACAAACACCCAGTTGCCATCAGACATATCAGATATATGCCCGGCATGTCTCCGTGATATCCGCCCACCATCCTCGAGCGGATCGTCCCAGTCATCACGCACTGTGGGAGCCATCCAACAGTTTAAGGCAAAATACGCACACCTACACATCACATAACATGCACCAAACATGCACAATCACCTGCAAATCTCCCAATCGCCATTAAATGCATCACTAATACGTCCGTCTCGGTCATCGATGCCCAGCGACATCACATACCAGTATCCTAGCTAGCCTTGAATGTTTCCGATATATGCCCGGCTTGGTATTTGATACTCATACCGAACAACCCGCCGTGCTCAAGCGAATGGTACCAACCATCGCACATAATGAAATCATCTATCCATCACAGCAGCAGTTACACATTACAAACCACAAGCTGCGCCTGCACATCACATACCGATTTCCCAATTAGCCTCGAATGTTTCCGATATATGCCCGGCTTGGTTGTCGATATCCAGACCAAACAACTCGTCGTGCTCGAGCGAGTGGTCCCAGCCATCGCGCATGGTGGGCGTCATCCACCAGAATGTCAGCTTAGATAGTAACGGAGCCGCGTGCTCGGGGCAATCATTCGCGTCCTCGGCCTGTATGGTTAAATATAACAGTTTATATTAGTCTGCATACTGGGTAGCATACGAAATCATATCAATGGTATCAGGAACAGCGTACAAACATCTCAGAAGATCAGTGCTCCAGAGAGGCAATCACATCCTCAGCCTGCACGGTTAGGTACGAATAGGTATACAAGTTTTTACTAGTATAAGTACCGAACATGGGGTATGGTGATATCTCACTGGTATCACAGACAACTGTGAGAAAAAAGCACTAGTAGTCCAGACGCGTGTTCTCGTCCGTCATTCAGGTCCTTTGGTTTGTACAGGTACGTTTACAATTGGACATCGGACAAGGACAACCAAATAGAAACGGTACGTGAGATACAATTGGTTATCACTGGCATCGCGAACAGTTCACGAAGATCTACTAAAAACCCCAAACCTTACGGTATGTGAGCTATAATAATATAACACTGCTGGTCTCGGGAACTGTGCACTAAGATTGACAAACCCCCTTAAACCATAAACCCTTAAACCGTACGGTATGTGCGAAGCAATTATATAACACTGGTATCAGAAACAGTGTACTAAGATGAGGCTACAGATGGCATATTAATCCCGTAAATTAGCGACAAAGAAGAGCTAGATATTGAAGATGGGAGTCTACGAATAGTTGCGGGACTTCGTGCTGAGAGTCGTTTGTACCGTCGGCATGTGTGTGTAAGTATGCATGTATTCATCAGACTAACAATAGAATATATACTCGCGATAGAGATTGCTTAGGTGTGTGTGTGTACGTGTACACGTAACTATCGGACAAACAATAGAATAAATACTCACTATGGGCATGTGTGTGTAAATATGCATGTATTCATCAGACTAACAATAGAATACATACTCTCGATAGAGATTGCTTAGGTGTGTGTGTGTACGTATACACGTAACCATCGGACAAACAATAGAATAAATACTCACAATGGGCATGTGTGTGTAAGTATGCACGTATTCATCAGACTAACAATAGAATACATACTCGCTATAGGGATTGCTTAGGTATGTGTGTGTGCGTATGCACGTATCCATCAGACAAACAATAGAATAAATACTCACTATGGGCATGTGTGTGTAAGTATGCACGTATTCATCAGACTAACAATAAAATACATACTCGCTATAGGGATTGCTTAGGTATGTGTGTGTGCGTATGCACGTATCCATCAGATAAACAATAGAATAAATACTCACTATGGGCATGTGTGTGTGCGTATGCATGTATTCATCAGACTAACAATCGAATACATACTCTATGGAGATTGTTATATGCAGGTACACACTGGTCACTCGACAAAAAAAATAGGTGCTGATTGGTAAGTCTACAAGGCGTGGAAACAAGATATTTATAAACAAATTCATACAAATATTTCTCTGCAATACAAGATAGTGATACTGTTGCCAAGCCTATGCAGCACCTAAGGCGCTGAACAGAATGACAAGCAGCACACTCTTCCATATATTGCATATATGAGATATAAGGTAGATGAAATACCCGATACATTGTGGTTTAGTATAGAACCTCCGGGCCTATCCCGCACATACGCCGAAACATATCTACAAACACAACATATTGAAACTCAGGACACACCTGCTCCCCTAGTCTGAGATAGTCCCCTCGAGGCTCCACAAACTGAGCCATCAGCGTCAGGGCAAGAGTCAGCGCATAATATGCGACATAAGAGATATTGTAAATTGTATCAAACGTAGAGGCGTCGGTTTGCTCAAAGTGATTGTGTGTCTGTTGAATTCTGTCGAAAACGGCGATCATCTCGATACTTCCGAGCAAAGATGCGGCAATCCAATAAATACCAAGCACGTAGGAGTGGCGCATACCAATGGCCTGTTCTGATATCATGGCGATGATGGCTTCAAGCTGCATGTGTAATTAGAGGGCGGTGTGATGTGAGGATATATATATATATATATATATATATATATATATATATATGTTGTGTGTGTGTGTGTGTGTGTATGTGTTAGTGTGTGTGTGTGTGT